ATATATATATATATATATATATATATATATGTGTGTGTGTGTGTGTTTGTGTGTGTAAATTTCAAAAATATAATATCACATATATGCATATATACACACTCAATACAAAAGCCATTCGTATATACACATTCTACTTATATAAATGAAATAGCACAATACATAGTGTGATTAATATGTGTTTAATATATTTTATATATATATATATATATATATATATATATATATATATATAATGCATAATATAGTATAATATAGGAAATTTGTAAATGTCTTCTTGAATGAGCAAGCAGACATACCAGAGGTGCTTTAGGAATTAAGCAGTGGCACCATACAGCAGAAACTATAAAATAGTTTAAAAATGTAAAAATGAAGAATGAGTGTACATTTATCCAATTCTACTTATGGGATTTTTACTTTAAATAGCCAACGTTTGACTAAGATTATTGTACATGGAGCTGATGAATGACACCATTTTAGCCAAAACAATATTGTCGCATTAACGACAAAGAACTTAAAATAATAAGAGTCCTGTGCAAAAATCTATGTTGTATCATAATGGATGTAAGGACAAAAAGAAATAATGAAAACATTTAAATTGTAATGGGAGCGTTTGATTCGGTAGAGTTTTGGGAAGTGGTAGGAAGATTCTTAATATGGAGATTGAGATATCTGTTCGATGTTAATGATTTTATAGAGATGGCGGTGTAAACATGCAAAACAATATATAATGAACGCAGATCACTCACGAAAAGAACTGATAAAATTGATGAAAGATTACAAACTAAAAATTACTACAACAGCTGATGCTAAAATGATCAACTTCCTCGACGTGGCCTTGGACTTGAATACTGGTAATTATTAACCTTATACAAAATCTTACGCAATCACAAGTACGTAAATCATCGCCCATTGTCCTTAAAAAATTACACAAATCAGTACAATATAGATTAACTCCAAAAATAAGGAAATATTTGATGAAGCTAAAGCTAAATCTGTAAAAACCTTAGAAGAAAGCAAACACAAAGTAAATATAGAATACTAGGAAAAAAACAAAAACAAACGAGGTAAAAATATAAAAAAAACAACACAACGTGTTATTGTCAAATCACACTTATAGCGTAAAGAGTAATGTCGGTAGAATTTTTCTTAAGTTAATAGATAAACATTTGAAAAATCAGCAGCATTAAAAAAGGTTTTTAACAAAAAATAACGTAAAGATCAGCTACCGATGCATTAAAAATATCGAAAACTTTATATCACACCATAACAATATTTTGCTGAATAATTATATAACTAGAAAAACGGCCAATAATAGCAAATCAAGAGTTAATAATACTAAATGTAACTACAAAAAACAATATGATCTAGCCCTTAAACGCTCAGTGTTTGACTAAGTATATTGTATATTGAGATAGCATACAATCTGATATTAAATTTTACATTGTTTCTACCGAAACTTTTTAGAAAAATAGTTTTAATAATGACAAGCTCAGTTTAAGTAACGGTAAATACAAAAACAACACTGCTCTGTCTAAATATTATAGGTAGTTAAAGTGTGTTGGCAAAAGACACATAGTTGAGGGTGATATAATAGCAAGAACCAAATATTACAGTGGTAAAGGCGAGAGATGTAAAATATGCTTTCTAGAAAAATTAGATATTTGAAAATAATTTAATAATGCTAATTTATTAAACAAGAGAAATGAATTAATGGTCACATGTAGGCAAAACAAAAACAAATACCTGCTGAAATATGTTGAACCAGATTGATTTCAATTCAAGCCGACACCTTTTTTCTTTTTCTTTCAATTCATTTACTTTCTTTATCTTTAAATTGATTTATTTTTATAAATGTATGAGTGTATAATCATTAGCTCAAATTAGCTATTTTCTATTTTTTGTTTGAATGTGTAGATTTTTAATATCTAATAACAAAAATATATTAAACAAACATTAGTCACAACATGTATTTCATGTATTGTGTCATGTCTTATATATAAGTGTATATCTATATATGTATATATATGTCTAGCTTTATAATTGTGTTAAGCGTGTATATAAGTATATATTTCCTGTTATATTTCTTGTGTGTACCTACAATTTATATGTATTCTTTAGATATATTGGAGGCTATAATCACAAGCATGTTTATCTATATATTAATATACATTATTTTAGGATATTACATAAAATCATGCGCAAATGCAATCATGTTTCGATATGTATTGACACATCTAAGCAGGCGTTACTAAATAACTGGTGAGTAGACAATTTATTGAGATTTAGAAACAACACTCACGCTCTTTTCACGAGAAAAGGAACAAAAGAAAAAAGACACAAGATACACACTCTTTTCCCGACAAAAGGAAGAATAAGAAAAAGAGTAAGAAAGAAAAGAGAGAAGATACTAGCAGGATTTGTTTTGCTTTTATTCAGATCTACCTATCGGAATGGCCTAAGCTAAGTTCAAATTAAGGGGAAAATCGAAATTTAAGAAGCAACTACACGTAAGAATTCCTGACCCACAGAATTTGAATCGTAGACGACATCCGGATGTCATATTTGGTACGGATATAAATTAACTAAAATGTTATATATTAGATTATAATACTTATCTCTTTACTTGAGAAGTCAGAATAATGAACTGTAAGAGATCTGTCCTCATTCACAGTGGATTAAGAATTCTGATAACTTAGACATTTCAATGGGTTCACTGGATTCAGCTTAGTGTTCTGATCTGGTTGGTTTATATATTTTATATAACCTTACAGGCTATGAGGAGATCAATCTAGATAATATAGGGCTATATAGAGAAAATGGTCTTATGGTTGTAAAAAAATCCCTGAAAATTAAGGAAGATAAGCTAAGAAAATAATTCACAGGGAACTAAAATGTTTAGATATTAAGGTTAATATAAGCATTAATATTAAACAAGTTAATTTTCTAGATGTCACGTTAGATTTAGTTAATGACAAGTTTCAGCCTTATATAAAAAAATAATGCTAACCCAATCTATATTCACCCCAATATCAATCACTCTCCATCTGTAATCCAACATATTCTTTCTTCTCTAGAATTCAACCACTCATCGGACAAAGATGTGTTTCAGAAACGTAGCTGTGTGTACAATAATATTCTAAAGAATAGCGGGTATAAGTGCACCGAAATTCAGTTTAGAAAATAGAAAAAAAATAGTAATATTTGTAATTAAATTATAATTATTTCTGTAGTTATAAAAATTATCTGGATATGTCTTTTTGTTTATTATCTCATTTATTTATACATATTTTAAATATGGGAAAATTGCTGTATTTTTATTTTATTTTTTCCTTAAGAAAATCCCGTAAGATAATATGTACTGTTCCAATATTACGATTGCCCAGTAAATATATATCAAAATTTAAAATATGTAGTGGATAGTTTAAACTCAGCGCCTGAAGACTGCGTTGTGCATGAAACACAGATTTGTGCTTCCGGTGAAGACAACTCCTATAAAATTATAAAACGAAATAAATAAATAAATAAATATATATATATATATATATATATATATATAGGATGTATTTAGGCAGAATTTATACATTTATTTAAGTTCCTTTAATGACCAACGTAAGTTGTTTGATTAGGATTTTTCGTTTATTTTTTTTACAAGATTTCGAATTGCTCGTCTCTTATGAAAATTCGAATATAAATTATTAGATATCTGAGCAGGTTCTGCAAAGTGTTTTGTTAATAATTATGTAACTATATGTATGTACTATATTTTCTCGGATTATACCACTTTCAAATATCAAGTCTTCAAAAGTCGAATTGTTCTTTTTAAATATTTCACCTTTATGCAAGATTTGTTTTTAGTTATGAAGTATATTTTGTATGTTTGTTCTTAGATTTGATAAAAAAAATTATTAATGTTTATTTCTTAATGCGTTCATATTCGTTTTGTATAGTGATATGGTTATATATTATTATAGTTTCATTAGTAAGAATTTTTCGGCTTTCTTATGTTTTGTTATTGTGTTATGATATGCGATTTTAATAGACTGTTATCGGATAACGGCAAATTACAAATGCCAGGGTGCAGCGATCATAATTTTGTTTACCATCCAAACAATACCAAATTCATGATAATGAATTGGACAATAAAAAATACTCGAATAAAATCATAACAAAAACTTTAACTTTGGAAAGTGTATCCACAGTTTTGATTATGATGTACATAATCATTTGGAAAATAAAATAAAAAATATGCAGACAGAAATTGTCAGTTGAATTTAACGAAACTTGTTTGGATTAATTCTTGCTACCTAAATATAATTTATACCTCACACACACACAACACACACACACACACACACACACACACACACACACACACATATATATATATATATATATATATATATATATATATATATATATATATATATATATATATATATGTAATTAGGAATAGAGATAGAGGCAAAAAAAAAAGATAAAATAAACTGAAATGACATTCATGTATAAAAATAAATTAAGAAAATGTAAAATTTTAGCGTCCCCTCTCCTTCATGAAATCAAATGAATGTAAATATGATTTTAGTCTGATGAAGTTCTAAAAGTTGGAACCCCTGACACCGAAAGAGTTTTCAACTTTGTCATATATTTTCCTAATATATATATATATATATATATATATATATATATATATATATATATATAAATTTGTAGAGAAATGAGATGTGAGTTTGTTCCGGTTTTTATATTCGTTGATAAAACGAGTTAGATAAACACAAAAAGAAAGCGAAGCAGATTTTGCGAAAGAAATGGATGAGAAAGAAGGTATTCGCGATTGCTGAAACAGAAGAATGGTTTTAGTTCTTCTTTGATCATATTGTTCGGAGATATTTTCCCCCTAATTTCGCAGATGGTATGCATGATTTTTGGTGCATTTTCCACTCATCTTGCCACAGATTCTATGCTTATTTATTGATTTCAGTTTCCTTTTCTTTTCTTTTTAGGATCGTGACACTTTTATCCCTGACGAGGAGCGCATCTTTCCACCCCACTCCCCGCGTAATGAAAGTAAGAAAGACAGAATACGCGTCAAGGACATCGAGTAAATGCTTCGAAACAAATGGGTTGTCATCGCTCGCAGTGGCACGCCTGTAAACGACAATTGGCAAGAAAAACAGAGAACATTATATATATTTGAATCGATATTTATCCGCTATCATACACACACACACACACACACACAAATACAAACACACACGCAGATACAGACACACGCAGATACACACACACACACACACACACACACATATATATATATATATATATATATATATATATATATATACAAACGCGATTTGAATATATATGGGCATATAATGCCATTATTTGCTTTACAAGGAAAGCCACTGTTTCATTATGGTCTTACTGAGGTGCAAAATGGTAAATGCACAGAAATATAAATTAAATAAATAAATAATTAATAATAATAATAATAATAATAATAATAATAATAATAATAAATACAGTAGAGAATCATAATTGAATATATATTTATATTCTTTCTACTTAATATATCTATATAAACGTAGATATCTCAATTTCATTTTTTCGTACGTTAATATACATAGGTGTTCTTTGTCAGTTTGAGACCATTAGGTTAATGCATTTATCACTGGTAAGTATATGTCACGAGGCCTGTTCATCTTTAATCGCTGGGGATATTGGTGTAACACGATTATCCTATCTCAAGACATCAGTACAAACATATATATATATATATATATATATATATATATATATATATATATATATATATATATATATATATATCTATATACCATTTTATCTACATAGCTGTTATAAACATCTCTCCAGTTTGTCTACAATCTATTATTATCCTTATTATTGTTATAATTATTATTATTGATGTCGATTTGAAATCTTCTATATTGTTTAGAAATATTGTTTATATAAAATTAACAAGCTTATTTATATCGTTCTAGAGATAATAAACACTTTCTTTTGCAACACTACACCCCCCTCCACACCCGCCACCAGATTCCTTGGACGCAACATTCATCGGGGACAGCAGCATTCTAGGTAATCAATAGATTTTCCGTATTTCTACAGCTTAATGGGGCTGAGGTTTTTGGGTTGTTTATCTCCTAGACTCGATGACTATCACAGCTAGGAAGACTAATTTTCATTTTATTTAATCGATAGCTGGGAGAAAAGAAGTGAATTTATATTTTCCTCAAGAGTATTTGTGCGAAAGTGAATGTAAGGAAGTTGAACGCAAATAATTTCCTGAAATTTCTTTAAGAAAAAACCAACAAAAATTCACATGCAAGAAAAAAATATTTGATATTCAATAATAAACAATTAAAACCAAAACAAACAGTTGATAAAATAATATTTAACTACCGATATTTTCATCCTAGTTGAGTAAGCGTTGTAAAACGATATCATGCTTGAGATTTTCGAATGCAAAATTTGAAATTAAGTTGTAACGACAATCGAAGAAAAAAAGTTTTCGAAATCATTTTTCTACTGTAAAATATTTACTGACTTTTAAACAAGTGTAAATGCATAACGAAAGTAATTATTCTTTCAAATATGAATAGCATTTATCTCTATTTTAAAATGCATTTGGTATGCATTTTCTCTGCTGTTAACGTTCACAGGATCCAGTTTCAATGTCTTATTGGGAAATAGTTTTTTCCATAACTATATTAACATTTAATTAGCATATTTTATGGACTAGAATTTAATAAAAATGTGTTAGATACCAGTTGTTGTGATGTCCTCATAAAATCATTTAATAGGTAAGTTAAGTACAATGATAATAAAACTTGTTGAATTGGCAAGTGAAATTTTGTTTTATTGGTAGAAGTAAAAATACACAATTCGCTTTTGTCGATTGTTAAGAATCGGTGCTTTATTCGAGCAAAGGAAAAAACAGAAAAGGAAAGGTCAGGAGAGACGAGATTTCTTCTTAGAAATTAACTGAACACATTCAATATTTCGGATAAACGCGCCTCCAAATCAAACCGAAGAGACGATTGAAAGAAAAATGTATAAAACAGCATGATGTCGCTTACCATATTTTACAATAGAAATTGTAATCTCCAACTAACTGTCTTCTGATGGTAAAGAATGCTTGTGATCTTTTGACACAAATGCTTCAAACGTAATCTTGACCAAGCATAGCATTCAAAACATTTGATATTATCAAAGTTAACATTTGCAAACTTTAAGAAATCCTTCACATACCCAGCTGAAAACAAAAGCCTTTTCCTTGTATAATATGTCTTAAGATAATTTCTATACCGTATGATTTTTATTATAGAAACCAATATACAAAAGTGGGATGAGATGTCCATAGGCTGTCTATGAATGATTGATGCTAAGGCTGTGAAATTTTGCATCCCTTCATTTCAACTCTTCTTACTTTTTATAGCGTTGCTTCTTTCCAGCTAAACTGACATCCAACTGTTCAAAAAAGACTCTTCATCCTCTTTGTTAAAAAGAAACAAAGGAGAGAACTCATCAACAGACGATATATTGTCATAATGACTGCGATTCTAGTTCCTAACTTGTGGTCCGCCTGAAGAGAGTCAATAAACACTTGTGCATTACCAAAACTAATGCGATCAACTTCCCAGCAGATAAAACGACCCTGGTCTTCTTTGGAAGCAGGTGAAAAAGAGTGTTTCCACTGCATGAATTGTCTCTTTGTCTCTATCTCAGAATGATTAACCCAACACTCATCTCGGGTTAGAAAACCTTCAGGGAAACTAGCTAGATCTGCCTCAAACAATGTCAGATTTTTCGGTGATGTGGTCAGTCTGTGCACTTTTGATCAGAATTCAGAAGACATAGAACCCACTGACCAGAAACCATCGTCATGCCAAGTTCATTGTGCAGAATATTCTTAACTTTTTCACGGGATATGCTAATAGCATTGGCTAATTTATTTGTAGTCAATCGCTTGCATCGCCACGTGGTGAATGCAATCAATGTTTTCCTCCGTGGTGAGCGTCGCAGGACGTCTATACATTGGGTCATCTTCAATATTCTTCCTTCCCCGCCTAAATTCATGAGTTAGCATGAATATCCTTGGGAAATAAATGTTTTTTTAATACTACGATACCAAATTTTGTCCATTTTCAAGTGATGTCGCCATTTGCTAATTTTGAACTGTCTGATATCAGTTTACTTGAAAAAAACAAAAGAAAAACAAAACAAAACAAAAAAAACAATGTAGTTAGAAATAAGAAGAGTTGACATTGACTAGGATGACTCCTTCGCAGTTAAACACGTATGTGTACCTGTGGGCTAACTCTTTCATAAATTCTATTTTACAATGTTTATCCAATTTTCATTTTGCTTTTTCTGTATATTTTGTATGTCTTTCTTCTTGTGTTACAAACAAGTACGATGTAATTAAACGTGTCTGGCACTTGAAGTTGTTTGTATGTAACTTCTACAAATTAACGACACGCATTCTGGTATCCTCACTGTATTACTTTTTATGGTTGGTTTAGTTTGACGCAAGTTCATTTTAGGGAATAGAATTTAATAAAACTGTGTTTGATAGCAGCTTGTGATTTTCTAATATAAACGCTTGGTGGATACGCTAAATCTAAAGATAACAAAGTTTGTTGAATCGGCCAGTGAACTTGTATTGTATCGACAGAATTAGAAAACACATTTCGCTTTATTCAATCCTGAAAACCCGTCCCTTTATCCGAAGCTAGAAAAGAGAGAAAAGCAAAATTGAATGAAAGAAAAGATTTCCTCGGCACATTAAACAATGGGGTAAAACATCTCTACATCCACATTAATGCACTTATTAAAGTTCGAAATCAAGGAAGAACACACATCGAAAAGCATAGTGTAAAAGTTATACTGGTCACATTTGTATATGGGTTCAGATCCAAAGCAGCACCTGATCGCATGGACAGTATTTGTCACGTGACCCCGTATAGTTAAGTGAGTTTTATGGTTAGTGACATATTGTGCCGTTTCATTTAATGACACCATATTGAATTTCCGCTAGGTCTTCAAGTTAATTATTAGCGACACGTGTATATGTGAGAGACCTGTACACATCTGGAATAACCCTCTTTAGTTCCGCAGTCACGCTAGATATTTTAAAGTAAATTAACATGAAAACTAGAGAAAATATTGGTAACAATATTAATGTATTCTGGTTAATGTAGTGAAACCTGTGCATATTTTCTATTGAGAATTGCACTCGTCAAATTCTCTAAGTGTTATGAATAACGTTGACACATACACAGTCGGAAAATTAATCTGTAAATAATACAATAACTGAACTGAATTGTCAGTCAGTTCTTGACGAAAGTAGAAAGTAATGTTACTTATTGTAAGTTTGTAGATACGTACAAAAAGTATTGGATCGAAATAGGAGTTCGTAGCGTTTTTAAGTAAATTTTCAAGACAATAGTTAGATATTTGTAAATAAATTTATTCAATCATATACCTGTTATTTTCTTCTACTACATTTCTTCATATTCCAAGCAGCTTCATGGTCCAATCTCCCCAGATCTTGTCATCCTCATGGTCTAAGTGGTTTATACAGGTTTTCATAAATTTGAAGTTGTTCTCATTCTTCTATATCACAATACAGAACCTCTGTTGTTTTACTTTCCTTTTGTTTGCTCCCTTTTTAGTTTAGGCACATTTTAGATTTATCATCATTTTTGACCACTTTCTGTTAACCGTTAGTTATCAAAAGAAGTAATGCAATTAAGCACGGGCTCAAGCAGGCAGTTCATATTTTTTATACTGCTAACTATGACAGCATCGCCGATATGTACTTTAAAGAAAAAAAAAAAACTTTTCTCTCTGCATTGGTTTTGTGTCGTCTATTAACACATTGCTCTCAAACTATATCTTCAACCCTAAACCCTACCGATTGCTCGAATCTTTGTATATTTCATCGATTTTTGCCTTTAAACAGACTGAATTCAACTATTCATTTTCCGAAAGGAGCTCGTAATACACAATACTCTTCCAATCCAACAACTTCCCCACTATCT